TTAAAAGTTTAATGATTTAACAAGGGGTTGAACATGAAGCTTAACTAGATAATGTAATAAATACTAAATTATTTTAATTTAATTTCAATAACAGAATAATAATATATTAATATTATTTTATCAATTTATTAAATAATATTTTAATTTAAGATTGATGCGTGCTAAAAAATTTATGGTAATAGAATAGCAGATTATCGTTTTAGCACGGTACGAAGATTCAGCACACACTTGGGAAAAATAACACAACTAATAATGACATCATAAGATTTGCGTAGAAAACCTCGAAAGAAAAAAATCACGGAACCGACAGCTTCTTACGGGCAAACCCCACACCAAAAATAGTGCCGACACATTTCTCAATTTGCAACGTCGACGTGCTGATTAATTTGTTGCTAGGAACGGATGACGACCAATAGCGATTGACTGCGTATAGTTGATGGTGGTCGACGAAGTTGGCAGTGATCGAAGGTGGTTGGCGGCGGCAGCAGTAAATGAAAATTGGTGGTGATCGACAACGGCCTACACTGATCGACGAAGGACAGTGGTCGTCGACAGTGGTGGGTGGTGATGGAGCTGAACTTTTGTTCCTTTTCAAAGCTTCCAGCTCTTTCTCAGATTTAAAATCATTCTCCTCTCATGAGAGAGGTGTGGCTCTATTTATAGTATTTTTGGTGCAATTAATGTAAGAATATGAACCACTTTGATCGGACGGTCCAAAGAGTTTACTTCCATCATACGTCGTTTGATGGATTTTTTAGTGCGTTAAGGATATATGAATTAAGCAATATGGGGCTCACGTGATTGATCTTGTCAAGACGTTTGATTTGACTATAGGCTAGATTCAACATTCGTTTGATATTCTAAATATATCTGGAAAACTTCCTATAGTGATTTAATGATTTGTTCAGAGCTTGATTTGACTAATTTTAATATCATTGGGTATGTCTTATTGAACTGGTCAGTTTGACTATAAGTTTGTTAAAATCAAAGCTTTTGATGACTTTTTTATCGAAGTTTGAATATTTCTCGCTCAAATGTCATTTCGAGATCCGTGTTATACATTGAAGTTTGGAATGGATGATGAAAATTGGTTGGAGTCCTATCAAATATAATAAGTTTGAATATTTTTTAGAAAAATTCTAAATAAAAATTTTAAGGATATATTTATTATTTTTAATTTAAATATCATATTTCTTGTCATTCCATCAAAATAAAAAAATTAAAATTGAATAATATTTGAACCGATCGGTTCTTCATAAAACTACCACTTCACTAGTTTGTTGATTCAACAACTGTCCTAACCGACTTAATTTCAACTCTATGTATAAATGAGTCTAAGTTTTGATAGAACCAACTAAATAGTCAGTTCACAGCTGAACTCGTCAGAATACTGAGGATTTTTAAAATCATAAACTATATACTTATTATGATATATTAATTGTTACGCCACCAACAATTTTTCATTATTTGACACGAATCTCAAAACATGACATGAATCTCGAGGCAATATTTTGAGAAAAAAATATTCAAATCTTGATAAAAACCCATCAAGAGCTTCGATTTCAGAAAAAATATAGTCAAACTGACCGGCTCAATGAGACAGACCTAATGATATAAAAATTAGTTCAATCCAAGTCAAATCAAGCCTAGATCAGGTCATTAAACCACTTTTACAAGTACTTCAGACATGTTTGGAAGGTCAAACAGATGTCGAATATGACAAATTTATAGTCGAATCTATAGTCTCGACAAGACGAATCCAACAAGCCCAAGATTGTTGTTTTTTGACAGTGTTAAGACACTCAAATGTCAATAAAATGCGGTCTAATCGAAGGAAGTACTATGGACCGTCCTATTAAAATGGTTCATATTTTTGCAATAATGACACCCAAAACACTATAAATAAAAATCTACCCCTCTCATGAGAGGGGGCAAAAGCCTTGGGAGAGAACTGGAGGCTTTGAGAATGAGCTAAAGTCCAGCACCACCGCCGACCGCAGTTGACCACCGTTGATCACCGTCGACCATTACCGACTGTCGTTCGCCAACAGTTGTCGACTATCACCGACCAAACTCAGTCAATCAACGTCGTAACTTGAAAATATAGTAATCCTCTCTCATCTGTGAGACAAGAGCTCACCACTACAGTTCATGTGTCAACTACAACCAACGTGGCCATTAGCTCATGCAACTCCTGACTCTGATCCCAACGATCTATGAACGACACCACTACTCACCACTATGGTTCATACACCAAGAACGGCCTACACGGGCATCAGCTCATGTAGTTCTCGATTTCGGCCCTCGTGGCACCCCAACGACCTATGTGGTCATCAGCTCATACAGTTCCTGAATCCAACCCCCAGCAGACTACGGACGTCATCAATACCGCCCCAATGACCTACGTGGTCATCAGCTCATATAATAATTGAATCTGGCCCCAGTGGTACGAACATCATCAATATTCACCCTAATGACCTATGTGATCATCAGCTCATGCAGCTCACGACTCCAACCCTCGCGACCTACGAACGTCATTAATACTCGCCAACTACAGTCTACGTAATTCACAGTTCGTACAATTGCTTACTATGACTTCTTTGGCCAATTAACGCTTCTGGAGCACTAATCTACAACACTCACAATGGACTAACAATGACCTTTGCAACTTGTTGTCACAAAGAACTGCAACCAGATTATATTTATGCAACTTTTAAAATTTTATCTTTTCTAATTTAAGGGAAGATTGAATATGTGTACTAATCATTCATAGTAAATTATTTCAACTGGGCTAGACTCCGTGGTTTTTCCCCCTTTCAAGAGTTTTCCACGTAAAAAGTTAAAGTGTCTTCTCCTGCTTTCTTCTCTTCTTTTATCTGTGTGTGTTGAATTCTCGTGCAACACTAAAATGATGATCCATTCCTCTATTACCGCAAATTTTCTGACACGCTTCAGTTTGGCTCCATCTATGGGAAACGAAGCACCATTCAACACTGTCTTCAACTCTGAGACGTCGAATCCCTACTTCATTTACTGATGATATAGATCATCCAATTGACAAAGGAATCTTCTTTGCATCTTGAAGATTATCTCCAAAGCATTCTTCAATGTGGGGGGCAACATTCATTGCAATCTCAAAAATTCGTTCACGTTAATGTCTCGGGCACGATTGTAGTGGGGCAGTTTTCTCACATCCTATTCATACACAAAGTATGTCACAACTTCTTACAGACTGGGGGGAAACCTTCACAGCAGTCTCAAAATGTCATTCATGTTAACATCTCGGGCACGACTGTGATGAGGATGTCATTTCATATTTCATTCAGATTACAAGTCCACGAGAATCACATTTCACACAAATAACGCTTCCACAATGCCCCTCATCGTACTGGAGATCCTCTTGAACCGGGTCAGAAAGTTGATCTCTTCAAGGCTCTATACATATGTTGTTTCACGAGCTCACATCCAAAACGCCCCAACTAGGGGGAAAAAGATTCAAAAGCAACAACTGACAAGTTGTCAAATATTTTTTTTGAGTATGACTGCAAACATATTTCCGTTGTTTCACGAGCTCACATCCAAAACGCCCCAACTGGGGGGAAAAAGATTCAAAAGCAACAACTGACAAGTTGTCAAATATTTTTTTTGAGTATGACTGCAAACATATTTCCAAAAAAACATATGGTCCATTGCGACCTACGCCCTAGTCTCGAGAAATGCAAGGCATCTCTCACACCTCATTCTAAGCTTAATCGATCTCAAGGGGACTCAATTTGTCTCTTCCATTACAGGCTACAATCGTCAAACAAAAGCTTTGACGTACAGCCTCGGGTAGGTCAAAAATCCTTGGTGGATTTTCATCAACCTCTTCCATTACAGGTTACGGCATTCAAGAAAAAACTTCGACATACAACCTAGGTTAACCATCCTTAACAAATTTTAAATGACTCTGTTCATTACGGGTTAATACCGTTGAGCATCTCCGGTTATACAACTCAAAATCAGTCTTACATCTTTAGTAGATACTTCTTTCAACCATGCATCTATAAATCAATCTCAACAAACAACTCTCGATGAAAAGCTAATAGTGGACAGAGTCTTCACTAGCAAGCGTCCACAAAAGCATGTGATTGATATGTCTCAACTCAAAGAACTCAGAAGGCTACGAGCCTCGGAAAGTACTGATTTAAGCTTCTATAAGGCATAAGTCCGAGGGGGCACAACCTCGGAAGCCACGAACCACAAATGCCTCAGAAGCAACGTCAAAGACATACAAAGAAAACATCTTCATCATCTAAATATGCTGCACCATGTGATTAAAAAGACTACAATTTCAACATATACTTGTACAAATGATACAACAACAACTCATCTTCGAACAGAGTCGACATCGCCTCCGAAAAATTCAAGCACTTCTAATAATTATCGAGGGGTCTCCAGATATTGCCACCACATAAGTATGAAAATCTTTCTTTCAGAGCACGACAAGAAAACTACAACATTTCTTCATCACCACCTAACAGGACAACTGAGTCACACACACTTCTAGCACCTTCACGATTTCAATAAACTTATTTGCCAGTAGAAATCGTAGGTTAACTCTTGAGGCTACCTCATGAACAACAACATACCCG